TAATAGACTTTTTAAAATTCACTTAAGAAAAATCCTTACAAAATCTTCAATAAGCCCACGCCACATACTTCTAACTCAACCATGACTTCCCCTTTCCCTTTCTGCTTTCATTCTTTTTCATCATGTATCAGAGCAATCAACGTTCCACTTTTTTCTCACCACTTTTCTAACACTAATTATAGTTTCACATGCTTCTTACATGTTAATATATAGTTGAATATTTCAGAAAACTTTCTATAATTTAATTTTTTAAAGTTTTTTAAACTCCTCTTATGTTATTTATATATTTTTACATGTTAATATTATAATAAAAAGAGCTTTAATGTAATATTTTTAAATTTTATTTTTTTTAACATAATTCTCAATCAGTAAATTTTTCTCTACACTCCTTTTGAAGAGAAAAAGTTTTTCTCTAACCTTGTCAATGCAAGACTCACTTAACAGTTTTTCTAAGAAATTTTCCCTATACAAATTTCTTATTAAACACAAAAAAAATTAACAAACCAACATAATTCTAATAAAACTTATCAAATTTTTATACAGTATTTTTTAATCACTCTTTCAGTAAAAACTTTATCAATAAAATTGACTCTCTAACCAAGCAATGACCAAACAGGCCCTTAACTTATTTCATGTCCTCCAGTTGAAGAGTTCTTCATTGCAATAATCGTATACCACATCAGTAGTGTTATAATAAAAAAAAATGCTTATATTAATATCATAAGTTTCTCTTCTACCACAGTCATTAGAGGTCTCAAACCGCTTCTAGTTAATTATGGCTGCCACATAAAATTGGATTATAAACAACTATTAGGTAAGATAAAAAAAATAAAAACAACCATTAAGTAAGATCATAAAATAAACCGGTATTAAGTGTTATGTATTAATGATTAACTACCAACTATTTTGAAACAGCTAAATTAAATAGAGTTGTGACTGTTGATTTTTTTTAATGAATTTTTTTCATTCAGGCCTTTTCATTGCTCAAACCTATGTGAAGCGTGTTTTCTGTATTATTCTCCTATGCCCACTAATAAATTTTAAATAGGAATAAGAAAAATACAAGAGCTTAATTACTACATCATCCTCTAAAATATTTTTTTAGAGGATTCATTTAAAAACTCATCTTTTAATTAAAATTTTTTAAAAAAGCTATTAAATTAAAAGTTTTATACAGATCATGCATATCAATTTTATATTGATCTAATATTTAGAGCTCTTTGATTAAAGAAACAGTATTTATTGATATATATTTATCAGAGTTAAATTTAATGTAATTAACAAACTGATTAGACTTACTAAATCAATCTAACAATGGACATGCATGATTTATATGAATAAAATTTTTATTCAAATAATTAATTTTTAAAAATAATAAAAAATAAATTTTTAGATGGATCCTTAAAAATATTAAGAGCAACATTTGCAAGACATTTTTTTTAAAATTAAATGTGAAGAAAAAAATTAAAGAATGAACCACTGTTTACCAGCAAAAATTATTTTTTTATTAATAGAGTAACAATATTCCAAACATTACAAAATATATATAACTTATGACAAATAAAAGCTTACAAGCGGCTAATGACTTAAGTAGACTATTAAATTTTTCTTCTTTTTTTTTTTTAGAAGAGATTTTAAGTTGCTTGATGTATAAAATGAGCTAAGATAAGAGGAAAGGAACAATCTAAAATAGAATAATAATAATAATAATAATAATAATAAAAGGCTCACAAGAGAAATTGAAAGTTAAAAAGTATTAAAACTTAATAGACAAATGGAAACTTCAATCTTCAAGTCATGTATTTGTTATTGAGAGATCCCTCCTCCTCATACGATGTGGAATGTTGGAAACTTCGAATTTCATATATGAATATAATACATTAATTTTTTCAAATTAAATTTCCTTTAAAAATTGATAAGTAATAAAAAAATGAAACATTTGAGAGGAATATTCTTTTTAATCTCCGGGATGTACTTGAATTTAAATAACCTTTTTAATTTTTTAAAACTAAACATGCTTTACACTTTTAAAATTATTAATTATATGGTGTTGCGGCAGCAAATAAATTATCAAGGTCCTCATTTGAGTGGACATATACACTTCAGTCTTCAAATCATGTATTTAATATTGGGGTACCTATCCCCTTATATGATGTGCATCGTTAGAAACTTGGAATTCCATATTTAAATGTAATATTGTAATACCCCAAAAAATTCTAGAATAAATAAGTGTGAGTTAGGGATTAATTTGTGAGGAAATATTATTAATGAACCTAATGGAAATTTATGTTAAATTCAAGGGGCTTAAAAGAGAAAATAATTGGATAAGGACGGGCCGATTTTTCTTTTTCTTTCTTTCTTCTTCAGCCCGCGTGTTCTGCTTTTCTTCTTCTCCCTGCACCGAACAAGAAGACCCAAGCCGACCCACACCTCCCCTTGGAAGAAACCGGCAAAGCTTGATGATTTTTGCCTTTCTTTTCTTGTTCAAGAACAAGATTTGAGCCTTGAAATCCCCCCCCCCTTCTACAGAATTTTCAGATCTGCTCTGTTCTTCCTCCTCACCATCGGCTGCTCTTGCTTTGTGGGTGTGATTTGCTCTGGTTTCTGGTAAGAAACAGCCATGAATCTCCCTTCTCCAGCTTTAATTGGCTTGGGTTTACCTTAATTTCTCTTGGTTCCTCTTAATTTTTGGTAGTTTCCGTGAGTTTCCCTGCACTGCCGCCGGCTTCTTCTCCCCCTGCCAAGTCCGGTTCTGCAGCTGGAAAATTCTGGTATGTTGACAGCTTCCTTTAAGTTCAATTTCACCCATTTAATTGCTGAAATCATCCATGTAATTGCTGCCCCTGTACTGTTCAAATTTCTGCCCAAATAGCGGAAGAAATTAGCAGCCTTTAAACGTGTTTTTTTGGGCTTAGTTCATGTAGAAATAAACCTGTTTTGGCTTGAAATTTAGCTATTGTTCTGCGTGAAAATCCTGCTGTTTTGCCAAAGATTTTACTGTTCACGCAGAAAATTCTGCAATTTGCTACTGTTTTCTGCTCCTTTTCAGTCCGTTTCTTCTCTGAAAAATCTGATGAAATATCCATTTTTCTGGACTTTTAGCTGGCTGTAGTTGAATTTTGGAAATATCAGTTACTGTTCATAGATACTGTTCATGACACTGTTTATGAGCGCTGTTTACCAGCACTGTTCATGCATTAATGGCCAACAATTAACATGATTTAAATGTTTAGTTTGTAATATAAGAATAAATTTGAAGATGTCCAATGATGTGGAAATGGATAGAAATAACATCGTTATTAGGGATATTCATGGTGATTTTACTTTTGAATTTGTTGTACAATAATTAATTTTGGAATATTTTGATTAGGGTCTTGATCATTCTGTTAGTTTAGTACTGAGATCGAGTCTTCGATTTTATACGAGTGAGGTAAGTAAATTTATGGTAATGCCCGTACAGTTTTTAAAAACATGTTTTGACTTGTTTTTGAAATGGTGGCTGGACTAAACCCATTTTACACAAATATGAGCATGACTGATCTGAAGTGAAACTTTTATGCTTTTCATTAAATTAAGCATACCTACTTGAAATTTAATTGATTGTCCTGATGATTTGAAAGTGATTGGTGAATTATGAATTTTCTGTTAACTTTTGCCTGTTTTGTCTCCGATGTAGTTATGTTATTGATGATCCTGCTAGTGGGGTTAAACGCTAGCATATGTCGACATGTTATTGATAGAACCGGTTCGTTCGAATGACCCTACTAGTGGGGGTTATACACCAGAAAATAGTGTAGTTTGTCAGTGGAAGGTTTATAACACTGGTCATGACCTATAGAGGAGACGTTTATTTCGTTCCCGCACTGTAACTGTTTTTCGTGATTATACTTGTTGGCATGCTATAAGTTTAATTAAGGGCACTCCATATTTTACTTACTGAGTTTATCTTATAGTTTTTCTTTGTCCACCATTTCAAGAAGCGAAACCGAGGACGGAAAAACCACGGGAAGTGACGAGTTAGAAGGCTAGTCATTTCGAGATTGACATAAATTTTAGAAATAAATCATGCTTTTGTAAGATAGATTTTACCTTGAATTTATGAGATCAAAACAAATTTCGATCATTAGATCAATTACTTGGATTTAAGTCATTTTGGATATAGAAATAAATTGAGATATTTAATTTAAGTTATTGAATTGTCAGATGTGAATTGGATATTGTGCATTAGTAGGATCCTTTTATGAGTGCACGACGTTTGTTGCACGACGTTTGTTGTACTTCGAATTTGGGTTCTGGGGAATTTGGGTTCTGAGGTGTGACAAATATATTCTTTTAAGAAATTAAGTTCTCTTTAAAAGTTGATAAGCAGTTAAAAAAAAAAAAAAAGGAAAGATTACGAAAGAATATTCTTTTAGTCACTATGATGTACTTGAATTTGAATAACTAGAATACTATATTTACAATATTATCACATGGTATATATTGCAAACTTACAATTTAATGTGTCATTATATAATTAATTACTTTTATTTAGAGATTTGTTTGTAACATTATATAATTAGTTACTTTTTTTTAGAGATCTATTTGTAATGTTATACATATATATTTATTTAATATCATATCATATTCATTTAATATTATATTATAATTATAAACTCATAATTTTATACCATACTATAATTATAGTATTGCCATTTGAATAACCTCGCATTTCCTTATTTTTTTTCTTTTTTTTTTTCTTTTTTTTTTAAAAAACTAAATATACTCTAAAAATATATTTTAAGGTTACTGTACAGTGTCGTGGCCATAAAGAAATTATCAGGGTTCTCATATTAGTGGGCAAATAGACATTTCAATCTTCAAATCTCGTATTTAATATTCTTTATATTAAACATAATTTAAGAGTATTTTTTAAAATTACTATATAATATTGTGGCGGTAAAGAAATTATTAGGGCTTTATATTAGTTGACAAATGAATACTTTAATCTTCAAATCCCATATTTGATATTATGGGACACCATCCCCTCATACGATATCAATTGTTGGAAACTTGGAATTCCATACTTGAATATAATGTATTCTTTGTTTCTTATATATATATATATATATATATATATATATTGATTGTAGAGAGTTAGATGTTTTTATTATAAAAATTTAAACATTTGATCTTGATTGAAATTAAGATTATTAAATAATTCAAATAAGTACATTTCTTTACCAGGTTTTAAAATTTTGATTTAAATGAAAATAGAATTTATTTCATTTAAATAAGGATGTCAATTTTTAACTTTTTTTTATTTAAGAATGTCAATTTTTAGTTTTTTCATTTAAAGATGTTAGTTTTTAACCTTTCTTATTTAAGGATTAATCGGAAAGTTATACTATGACAAGTGAATCTTTTAAAATAGGTTAACATTCTTAAATAGTAAAAATTAAAAATTAACATTTTTAAATAAAAAAAGTTAAAAGTTGATTTCTTTAAATAAAAAAAATTAAAAGTTGACGTATTTATTTAAAAAATAACAAAATTAATATTTTTAAATAAAAAATATAAAGTTAGTATCTTTATTCACATAGTTTTCTTGTTTAGTATGGTTTTAGTTTTGGGTATTGAGTTTTATTTTTTACATATTTAGTACCTATTATATTTAGAAATCACAATTTATCAAAAAAATTTAAATTATTAAATATAATTTAAATATAGTACTAGTTATTAAATATATAAAAAAATCAAAAAATCAAAATCATACTAAAAAGTGCCTAATTTAATGATTTTATATAATAAATGAATAAATTTTTTTATCTAAATAAAATATTCAATAAATATATATTTAGAAAAAAAAATTGTCATATTTATATTTTTTGGCCCTTCCTCGTAATTGACATTGCACGTGTTATGTTGCCAATCAAAGCAAGTTGTTTAAGCTTTCCAACAGACCTCTTGATTGCTGCCTAATTTGACCTGTTAATAAATCAATTCACCTCCCTTAGAAAATATTTGTTAAGGCCATTGAGGACATATAGAAAAAGACCAATATGCTGACTTGACTCGGCCCATAAATGATGACAATAATGTCGTGCTGCCGACTTGGAAAAAAATTGAGGTGCACATAGCAAGCAGCCACAACTTCTACATTTTGAAAGTAAAGTATCGTTCGTGGAATGTGTGACCTTTTTGAGGATAACAACGAACCACCTTTTGAATGGACCTTAACTCCATACATTTCGAAAGCATCGTGTGTGGAATGTGTAGCCTTTCTAAGGATAACAACGGGCCACCTTTCGCATGGACTTGAATCGATATATTTTGAAAGCATCATGTATGGAATGTGTGGCCTTTCTAAGGATAACTATGGACCACCTTTTAGATAGACCTGAATCCATACGTTTTGAAAGCATCATGTGTTATCTCTTGGATGGACTATGACTCCATACATTTCGATCGAAAGCATTGTGTGTGGAATGTGTGGCCTTCCTGAGAATGACAATGGATCACCTCTTGGATGGATCATGACTCCAAGTCTCCAACACTTGGTGAGACCAAAACAAACCAAATTTAACCCATTAATTAACCACCTAAAAACCGGCTTATGTTAATTAAGAAGAATTTAAAATAATGATAAATGGACCAAGATTTTAATACTAATGACATAACATAAATTATATTATTTAAAATAAGTTAAAATCTCAATTTAGTCCTTCTACTTTGGTAAAAAGTCTATTTTTAATCCCTTTACTTAAAAAAAAACCCCATTTTAGTTTCTAAAGTTTGAAATTCAGCTCTTTTTTTAATTCATCCCTTAAGTTTTTATCTTGTGTAACATGTTATCTTAATGAAAATCCCAAAACAAAGGGATTAAAAAGGGATTTTTTTTTAAGTAGAAAGATTAAAAAATGGTTTTTTTCAAAGTAGAGAGACTAAAAAAGGCTATTTTTGGTCCCTTTTGCACCCTCTACTTTGAAATTCCATCATCTAACATATTATGTGTACAAAACTTAATAGAGGGACTAGAAAGGGAATTGGATTTCAAATTTTAGGGATCAAAGGATTTTTTTAAGAAGAGAGAGTAAAAAGGAACTTGTTTTATTAAAGTAGAATGACTAAAATGGAGATTTAACCTTTAAAATATTAACGTCATATCATTTAATAATTGATTTTTTTTTTACTTTATTAAGATTTATAATATTGTATGCATTAATTTATATGATTCTTACCCAAATTAAAATATTGGAGGATGCTTATAAATATATATATATATATATATATATATATATTGGAGGATGAGATGAGTAATTACTATATAATATCGTGACTGTAAAGAAATTATCAAGGTTTCATATTAGTCGACAAATGGACACTTCAATCTTCAAATCCCGTATTTGACATTATGGGACGCCATCCCCTCATAGGATGTGGATTATTGGAAACCTAGAATTCCATATTTGATTATAATGTATTCTTTTCCCTTTTTTTTTTTTTTTTTTTTTATATATATATTAGAGAGTTAGACATTTTCATTATAAAAATTTAAACATTTAATCTTGATCTTAATCAAAATTATTAAATTAATAAAATATTAATTTAGCCAAATTGTTGTTGGTGAATGTAACTTTTAATTCTCAAGTTAAGTGTTTTTTAAAAATTGTTAAGCTATAAAAAAAAAATGAAAGATTTAAGAGGAATATTCTTTTTTTTTTTTTTTTGAACATTAGGGAATTTAGGAAAACGGGAGTATTTATTAAAATTGTTAGTGGGAGTTAAACTTTCAACCAACTAAACCAAGCACTTAAAGTTTGAAAATGAATTATTTGATCAAAGGTTTGGTTCAAGAAAAATATTCTTTTAATCATTAGTACGTACTTGAATTTAAATAACCTCTCATTTTCATTTTTATCTTTTTTTTTTTCTCAACTAAATATACTCTGACGGTGCTTTTTAAATTTACCATATAGCATTGTGATGTAAAGAACTCATCAAGTTCTCAAATTAGTTGTTATTATTTGTATCATTAAAAAATTAAAAAAATAATATTTTTATTAAAATTTGTGGGAAAAATATTAAAATAATTTTATTTA